GAGGAGTTAGGATTGCTACGAGAAAAGGTAGCAATCTTAGAAAAAAAGGTTTATAGTTTGGAGGCTTACCCGGATTTGGCTGTTAATAGTCAGAACAGCCAAATCGAAGAGCTATGTGGTAAATTGCCTCCACATCTTGCAATATGCGTGAGGAATTGCCTTAGGAATAACCCCCGAACTCCTAAAGGGTATAGGTGTGATAGGGAGTTGAAAACATTAGCCCTTGCCGTAAAATTCCTGTCACCTATTGCTTTCAGGTACTTAAAGCCCCTTTTCAACTGGCCCTCTCGAAAACCCTGGAACTATTTGTTCAAGGTTGGCCACGCAACCCTGGATACAATTACAGCAGCATTAAGGCCCTGGAGCTGAGAAGCCGTGGTTTCACAGATGCGCAGAAATATGTCTCCATCTGTTGCGACGAAATGTCTTTAAAAGTCCATGTACAATATGAGAGGAATAGGGACTCAATTATAGGACTGGAGGACTATGGAGACGAAAATCGTACCTCCAGAGTGGCTTCCAGTGTCTTAACAATTTTGGTCCAAGGCATTGGTGGGGAGTCTTGGACGCATCCCTTAGCGTATTTTTTTGTGCACAAATCGTGCAAAGGAGATGTTTTGAAAAAATATATTTTCGAAGCCATAGGTCAGCTCCAGGGTATTGGACTATATCCCTGCCAAATGGTAACCGACAAGGGTCGAATTTCGTTAGTTTTTCGAAAATTGTAGGAGTTTCCAGAGAACGACCCTTATTTGAAGTTAATGGCCAGGAAATCGTATATTTTTTCGACTCTCCGCATCTCCTCAAAAGTACTAGAAACTGTTTAGAAAACAAGAAAAATAAAGTAACTTTTCAAGGCCGCCCTGTAGATTGGATGGATATCGTGCATCTCTATGAACAAGGGTCTCAATATGATATTTCCTGTACCCATAAACTTACCTCGGCACATATTAGACCTAAAACCTTTGATAAAATGAGCGTGCATTTAGCATCGCAGGTCTTTAGTAACTCTGTGGCAAGCGCAATGTTTGCTATCTATAGCTCGGGGTTTTTAAATAGTTCAAGATCCCCTTCTTTTTTTAACACTGCCGAATTTGTCCTTTTCTTTGACAAAATATTTAATATTTTTAAAAGTATATACTTTGGGCATGTAGGAAATTTCAAACAACCCTTTCAAGCTACTGTAGACCAACTTACTTTTCTTGACGAAGCCGAACAGTTTTTGAATTCCATTAAAGTTTACGACGACTTAGGTCGCTATATTACCAATACGTATAGTTTTATTAAAGGTTAGTAGTTTACGTCGTTTGTGGCGATTCTTGTCACATAACGAATTCACTTTTTTATTGACACGTAAATTATGCCAAGACAAAATAGAAAATTTTGTTGGTCATATTCGTAGAGGGGGGGTCCTTTGATGTGAGAATAACTCCGCAGCGTTTCTCATATCTCTTTAGGCAAGCCTGGGGTATAGGGTATATTAGATGCGTAGATAAAGGGAACTGCGAACTCTTGCCTGAAGATAAGTGGGAATCATTTTCTAATAGCACCCTTATTACAGCTTGTGACGATGTTTTAGTCAGAGATACTTCCTGGCAAATATTTCAAGGCTTACCCCGGCCTAGTTTAAGCTCATTTCAAGATGTCCAAGTCGATATTTCGGTTGATATTGATGAAAGTAGTTTTCTTCATCGAAGCGCTTTTGTTTACTTCTGCGGCTACATGTATTTTAAATATTTCAAGCATCATAATTGCTTAATGCCATTACCAAGGTTTGAAGATGGAACTACTGAAAAAGATTTCTTCTTCACTATGGAGAAGCAATTTAGTAAAAGCCATCTTGTTAGTCCTCCCAATGAATTGGTTGAGTTTATGTCCAAAATCGAAAAAATCTACACAGATAATTTCGATTCAAATTGTCATAGGATTGGGTTTTCCCAAATCTTATTTGAGAAAATGATAGACGTAGAGCCATACTATTGTTGGGAAAATTGCAACCCCGATGTTTTAAAATGTATTTTCATAAGAATAAGAACTTATTTTCTGGTTAACAGTTTCAATAAGAAAGCGAACCAACCAAATTTTAAAAACATTAAGTTCTTGTGTGTAACACACCAATAGAGTTCGCTTTCAGTCTAAGTGTCTGTCTACAAAGTCCGAATCCGTCTGAAAAATAGGGTTTTATCGATTTGGGTGTCTTGAAATGAGCTGCCCATGTAGTTAGCTTCCGTGCCCATTTCCTTGTTCTTTAATTTGCACACTTCTATGGGCGTAAGACCTTTCTTTTTTCTCATTTACATTTCAAATTAGTCTGGGTGTCTGTCTGGGTTCAGTCTGGGTGTCTGTCTGCAAAGTTCGAATCCTTGTTCCCATTTCCTTGCTCATTGATTTGCACATTTCTTATCTTTTCTACAGGCGTAAGACCTTTCTTTTTATATTTATATTTTTATATTCATATTTATATTTTCATATGCTTGTTTTCTTTGCAGCTTTCTAGTATTTTTTTTAGTGCAGGCCCTATATCCCCACCACATCTATTTTTATTATTATTTACTTTGTTTGTTAGCCTGTCACTGGGGGCGGTTTTGTAAATACTATGTAAATACTTTGTAAAATATGTACCTGTAAAATTCCGTACCTGAATTGTAATACAAGTATTATTTTGTTTGTTTTTGTTGCAAGCAGTATTATTTAGTCGTTCTCTTATTTTTGATTATGTATTTGTATACTTATTTATATATGTACATCATTACCTTAACAAAGAAAATCCTCAACTAATTTTCCAGCTTTCAAAAAGTATTACTTTTGTACACATTAAATCGCTAAACAGATTAGCATTTAATTATATTTTAACTACATATATATTTTTTTTTTGTTAAAGTAGTGATATTTATTTTATATGGGTGAAAATAGGCCTCCTGGTGAACCGAACACCTTAAAAAAATCGGAAGCGCGCCTGTATTGCTACCTCAGCGGTGGTGTGGAAGAGCAATAAGAATTTAAATAAATATATTTTTATCAGAAAATACAAATGACTCGTTTTATTTTAAATAAAGTGTAATAGGTTGTTTTTTTTTCAGGGACCGAAAATAACTTATAAATCCAGCAAGAATTACTCACCACTCAAAATATCAGAGATAATCACTCAAAATATCACCAGATAACAATTTTTTGTGAAAGAAAAATAGAACTCTTGGTGTATATAAGTATTGTTTATTGAACGCGAAATAAAATTTAAACATAATCATTAAGAATGATTTTTTGCTAACAACTTATAAGTGCCATGACCCCGGTCTTTTATTAACGCTCATATAGGGTGCATTCGAAAATGCACCATTTGCATTTGGAATGCACCTAATTTAATATTTATTATAGTTAAATAATACATTTCATTAAAATTTAAATTCATAAAAAGAACAAAATGGAACAAGTAAAATTGTAGAATACATATGTATATAAAAATCAGATCAATTTGCACGTATTCAAGTAATAATTTAATACAATGTAAATTGTTAACGTACATAGTTTAAAATACAAACAGAAATACATAAGTATGTACACATCACATTTAATAAATTACAAACAATGCATTTTCTATGAAGAGTCATCAGCAGCCTTCCAAGCAGTTAAGCGCAAACGAAATCTTAAGATAAACAAAAATGAATATTAAAAATATTTGCTTGGTGTTCTCTGGCCATCGCTGTTGTTACTTTTGTTTGGCATGTGTAGAAACGAGGTACTGCTGTTGCTTATGTTACTGACAATGTGGTGTGGTAAAGTTGCTTGGAGATGGTTCTCTTGTAGTATATTGGCTATCAAGCACCAGAAAATTTCCATCACGCATTCCATATGCCACCGATTGTCGTGGATCATTTAAAATACCTTCATCACAGCTTTTTGGTACTCCAGCAGCTGGTGTGTCTATGGCGGAGTTATGTGGAGCAGTTGCATGACTAAAATCAATTTGGACTCTTTGAGAACTGGCTTGTTTGTTGCGAGCGCTATTGGCATCAAACGTACGCAAATTAGATTTCCAAACGAGCAACTGTTGAATACAGGAAAAAATTTATATTATATAATTTTTTTACACACAAAGCAGAAATTACCTGTCGATCCTCGCCCGCGGAAGCAAAATGTCTACCATGTGGAGAGAAAGCGACAGCGCAAACTTAGTATGGCCAGATAGTGTATAATTTTCCCGTCCATTTTGACCTGGTTTCGCTAAAGTGCACTACTACCGTGTATAAATTGGTCGACCTTCTAATAAATCAAGCAATATTATTGTATCGTCATCGCCGCCAGTCACCAAGAAATTTCGACTTGGGTGAAATGCAACATCATTATCCGGCGACGAATGCACTGTATTAGCTCGCCTTCGGCTATGTCAAATATCTTAACGCGGTTACAATTTAATGCTAAAGCCACCAGATTACCGTCTGGATGCCATGCCAGCTGTCGTCCCATACCTCTTCCCCGGTGAACGTTCGCATACATTCGCCTGAAAATGTATCGCAAATTCTTAACTTGTCGCCGCACGATGAAATTAACTTACCATTGGGCTGAATTTTTCTGCGCACACCCATTTGTGTGTCCAGCGGAAGATGTGTATTTTGAATTAGTATTTTGATGGCTGTTCGCCATTTTTCTAGTCTGCAAACAAATTCAACCACATTGTTGCATTCTACCGTACTTTTTAAAAACTTTAAAATCTTAAAACATATCGAGGGCTTATATTCAATACCCTCTATCTACAATTTTGATGAAAATGAGTTTTTGATGGTAACGTGAGCTCTTATTTATCCTTCAGCCATGACAATAATGCCAAACTTAAAATTTTGCTTTTATGGTATTATATTCTCATTTTGAAAAATCCACTATCTGCAATAACATTTTGTTACAAAAGCAAAATCCTCTATCTACACAATTTTGCTGGAAAATCGTTTTCATTACCATTTTTTTGTGGCAGGTCAAATAAAGACTGGGTAAGTTACATGTGCCGATGCATGTATGTATATGTTCCGGTAAAATCCGATCTTAGGTCAAACTAGTTTTGCCCAGGCTAAACTTGTTCTACCTAATGCGATGTCCAACCGAAACCAAATCTTGTGGACTGCGTAGCTTCAGTTGGACTGATGATGAGAGTTACAAAAATAGTTTATTCTAAGATCGGGTTTGGCCGGTAGCTTACAGGTATATACATGTCCGCTCATTTACTACAATAATGTCATAACTCAAAAAATCAAAACTCGAGAAAGACGGCTTTAAAGTTTTGAATTTACATATACGCCGATACTAAAAATGAATACATATTTTATTCAAGTGAGATTCTGGTAAAGGCCGGTATGCAGCTCTCAAGAAAAGCAAAAACTCCATATAAAATGACGTACAAGAAATGGCTAAGAAATTTTCTTGAGTCAAATTTCCTTAAGGCAATACGCAGTTCTTAAGAAATTTACTACGCTTTCTACTACGGTTTTCTAAAGTTTTTTGTGAAGAAAGAGCATAAGGCAACCCAGTTTTGCAACAGAAATATATGCCCGTTCCATTATTTCTTGAGGAAAGAGTGAGGCAACAGGCTGTGAAGTATCAAAAAATGTCAAAATTCCTTGGACACACACGCGAAATAATGGCAATTTTTTCTTGACCGTTTTCTTGAGAGCTGCATACAGGGCTTAATCGATACAGCTATGATATTTTTACACGAAATAGAAGAAGACGTAGCGATAATTTCTGCATACTCAACTCAAAATTTGTATTTTTTGGATTATGACACTACTAAAGTAAATGAGCGATGTATATATGTTTATTTGCCGCCACTTGGTCCGAAGATTCCCACAATTCTCTCTTACTCATATCTATTTAAGAGTTTGACCAACCATCTCTTCGATGACAGGCAAAAGCCCTGGTGTAGACAAAATCCCGTACCCCGTTCTAAAAAATCATCCGTATCCCATCAAACATAGAGTCATTAAACTCCATAACTACATTTTATTTCAAGGGTTATATCATCAAGAGTGGGAAACTGCTATTATTATTCCTATTGCCAAACTAAATACGCTAATGATATTTTAATTTTTTCTAAGACTAAGGACTTGACGCAAGTAAAAATTATTTTTTCTAACATACTAAACGATCTAATCAATTGGTCCAAATCTTCAGGAGCTCAGATTTCAGCTGAAAAAGTAATTTTTTCACATATGCAGAAAATACAAATAAATACATACATCCAACCCTCTCCTTGTCTAACACCCCTCCCCTATACTGATACATTGAAAATATTTGGAATGATTTTTTACAATAAACCTACTTTTAAGCAGAACTGTCATTATGTAAAAGTTTACTTTGGGCTCGTAATTTATTGACACTGCGCCAAAAAACATCTTAAATTGCTAGAAACACCTTACTATGTAGCAGAGGAGAAAAAGCATCCGTGCATTTCCCACCTCGCCAATAAAAGCTATCTCTCACGTCGAATCCTGCTTTCAACAAAAAAACGGATGTAGCAAGCAATCACCTTTATTTCGTATATTAAGCTACATCAAAGATTTCGACAGCATCCGATGCTTACTAAAGTAAAAACTCTACCGCAAGGGCATTTGCCCAGTTTGATACTCATAAATTACCTGGGGGCTTATTTTCACAGACGGTTCCAGATATGGTGGTAACAAAAGGGCTGGGTGTTACAATTGTCTTCAGTGCTTTTCCCCCGTACTGCTCGGCATTTACAGCCGAATCAGCTGTACGTTTCGCCTCTATAAGCGAAGGAAATTTCCTCATCTGAACCGACAGTAAACCAGCCAGCGAAGCCTCTTTTAACAGTGCTAATGATTCTCATATAATTTCGAAATCACGTGAAATACTCTTTTGACACAAAAACACATTTAAAATTATGTGGTTACCTGGGCACATCGGAATAGAAGGGAACGAATTTTCACACCTATGATTTCTGCATTAAAATCTTAGTTTAACATAGTATTTACGTCTAAAGAACTGACATTTTCATTATTCTGCAAAACCCTCTATCAGCAAATTTTTCTATATAAATAGTTATAATTCAAATTGCAATAACCTCTATCTGATCTTTAAACTAAAATTAAATGAATTAAAAGTAAAAAACTAGTTTTAGTATATTGCGTGAATATTTAAGACATGCGTGTGTACTTAAAATTATTAACACTTTTAAAAACAGCTGCCAAAACAGTTTTTTTGCTCTCCTGAAAAATTGGGTTTTTGCAGATAGAGGGTATTGAATATAAGCCCCCGATATGTGAAAAACTTTTATAATCTGAATATTTCTAATGTCGAAATCAAAACGAAATTTACTAAATAGCATTTTTAAAAAACAATCATCTAATATTTTTCAAGTTTTTGGGCATATATTTTACCATTTGAACCACAAATACTACTAAGTTGTATAAGACTATTTAAGGCAACTCAGGTCAAAAAAGAGCAGTTTAGACCAAAATAAGCAGCTCTAAAAAACAAATGATCGCAGCTGTGGCCCAGGATGACGTCTATTGCTAAGATATCTCACTTGTATTTGTACACAATGTTTTCCACTATTTCACTTTGCTAAGCCAACTACAATCAAGCGCAGCT